TGATTTCTTTTTAATGTACTATATAATATATACTTACTTTATGGAAAACTTTTATAAAGTATTTAGAATTTAACATCGGTTTTATTTATCGTTTAATGCTAATTAGGTATTCCATTGTGAGCGTTAGATATTAGTTACGTAATTTTATTTAATTATGTATACAAAATATCATTTATAATATCAATACATAACTACATAAAATTAACATTTTTCTACTATATTAATTATAATTATTTAAACCCTTTCTATTCATGAATTGCAAATCAAGAATATAAACCTTTAATGCTCTTAGCTTATATAAAAAATTTCTATGCAAAGAACTGTCCTTGGATCTATAATTGCGTATTCCTTCATTACAAAAAAACAAAAAAAAATTAACAGTCGTAATAAATATTTAATTGACCATAAATATGTTACATAAATAACTTTTAAACGATATTAAATGATCTATAGTATTCCCACGTGCCTCACGTTTTCCGAATGATTTAATTTATGAGTTGTTTCTTTACCGAATAGCAGAATGATTTCCTTCAATACGATTAATATATTACTGCATTTATAAGGTTAGAGTTTCTATATATAAGAATATTAGTAAAAACTCACTATATATAAATGTTTATCTGACCACTGCTAAGTTGCACAATATAAAAAGAAATAACTTTTTCTAACCATAGATTATGCACATATATTATATTTTAACTGAACATGAACTTGATTTTCAATTCTTAGTTAATATAATATGCGTAATACAAATGGCTTGCAGCTGATCTTGAGCATGATTCATAACAGTAAACTACTTTAATTTTATAAAAACATTTATGTACTTTTGTTGAAAAATATATTGTACTTATTTTAATGATTTATTTTTTTCTTGATAGAATGTCTCCGAGTGATAATACGACGGAACAATCTGGAGCGGGAGCAAACAAATCAAATACAAATACCACGACGTCAAATAACTTTCAACAACAATTGCAACAACAAATCTTGCCGAATGAGGAAACACTACTGAAACCTGCCTCGAAACAAGCATATTTTAGTGATGAGAAGGTCTTAATACCAGAGAGTGATAAGGTATGTAAACAGAGGCAGCTAATTGTATCTACAGAGTAATTTGCAAAAATCTGCTTTCATTTTGTTATCATCTAGAAAAGAAACAGAAAACCGCATACATGAGTAAATATGTACAATATATAAAAGCAAAAGAACTCAGAAAAACCCCATCCCATAAGAATTGTTGATGCATTCATCAAATTAATTTAGTATGAAACGTTTACTTCCAATCAGTAGAAGATTTTTAAATATTGCGCATAATAATTTGTTATTATCTTATAAATACATTTGACGGTTCTATAACTTACAATGGATAACTATGATAATCGGGTAATTTTTTCATTTCAAAGTAATTGGAAACCTGTCCATATAAATTATAACAAGTGCTATTTATTAATAATTAGTGATAAACTTAAATAAATTATTTGCAATGTAATCTTATTTCATTAGATATTTTAATTAAAATATTTAAATAAAGATTTTTTAATAAAAACAATTATAACAAGTAATAAAATATTAATATTAATAAAAATTATAAATATATTATAATAAAGATCGTAGGGTAGTGTTTTGTGATCAGAAAAAATTTAATTGTTTTTTGAATTTTTTTTTGGTTCTTTACCTATAGATCAAATCATTTGAAATTAAAATGAATATTAATGATGGATTGGTTGTATATATATAAATATTAATCAAAGTTGTAAGATAAAACGGCTTCAAATCTATTAACTTTCACGAACGTTTCTTGGAAATGAATACAAGCAAACATGGGTTCGCTATTTTTCGGAATGTTAAGTATACTATATACTATACTATATATGGCAAAATTGACAAGTTATGTTAAACTGTGTTTAAGCAGATTATTGCTGTGTATACATATATTAACTAGTGTCTCTATGGAAGAATGTATCTTTAAAATTTTTATTTGGAGTTTTATCTATGAACTTAACATTTTTTATTCAATATAAGTTTATATACCAAGTTTTCCCTTAATAAATTTTTGTTTAAAAATGATAGTACTTAAACAGCTTATAATTATAATTAATTTGGCAAATCATTATGAAAAGTACTATTACGTCCCAATAGTATTTAAGTACATGTGTACCAAAATGTATACTCAGTAAAAAATATTTTTAAACTGCTAAACCACGTAGTAACTATGAGATTCAGATTCAGATTAATAAAAAAATTTTTACATATGGAGTGAGAACTATTATATCACTGAACTTGAAGAAAATTTTGTTGAAAAATAATGAAAGAAAGATCGTCAAATAATCAAGGTATTGTGATCTATTGTAGTAGCTAGTAACAAATGGATAAATAATTACCCGGGCGACTTTCTTTTTCTTATACGATCTTTCAAGATTCTAACAATTTAGAAACCTTACCACATCTTTACCATACTGCTGTATAAGTTTTTGACATTACCATTACTTACATATAGAGCCTAGATTAAAGGTGATCAACAGAACTCTTATTTTTTAGCAGTGTAGAATTGATGCCTCTATATTTAAGAAAGAGTAATTCCAGAGCTACTTAGAAGCAGATATATTGAGGAAAAAAACTTCCGTCTGGCATCGATGCCAAATAAAGAGAATTTGTTGTTCTAGTAACTAAACGTGTTCTAAATATGAAGCTTAAATAGAAAGTTCTCTAACTGATATCAAATTTTTAATCATTCCTCAAAGTGTACTGGCAAGATTTATAGTATATTTATAGTATATACCTGTGTGGTATAAATTTTATACCACACAGGTAACGTATTAAGTTATTGTTTAATGCTTTTGATGTTTTGGTACGCATTTGAATTTTGGTATTCTATATATTATATAATTTACACGTTTATAAAATTAGTGAGCAAGCACACTGTACAGAGATTATTCATTATAGAATGGTGCTTCCCTGTTATATCACTAATGATTGTATTTATTTACAACTGTCATAAAGCAATATTAAAAAGACACGAAAAAAATTAATACACTTACATAAAAACGTCGTGAAAAAATAAAACACTAATTTAAAATTTTTTACTGTTCTAAACCAGGAAATAAATCATGAATGATATTTAAATATTTAAAATTAGAAAATACTTAAAATATTTATCTTAAAATCGTAATAAATTATTCACGTAAAATATTTTGCTAACACTTCGTTTAAGTAGATTATATGCATCTATTAGTATAATTTATTTTAAATGGAATTTAGTTCATTTTAGAGAATTCTAAAATGAAATTTCTAACCTTTTAAAATTCACTCTTAGTATTATTTTTATATTTATAAAAGAACGCTCTATTATTTTACAGATTGGATTTAGTTGGAGAAAACTATGGGCTTTTACGGGACCAGGATTTCTTATGTCAATTGCATATCTTGATCCGGGAAATATAGAATCAGATTTACAAAGTGGTGCTGTAGCTAAATATAAAATACTTTGGGTGCTACTATGGGCAACAGTACTGGGTTTACTGATGCAGCGCTTAGCTGCAAGGTAAGCATTAATGCAATTAAATTTAGATTTATATAACAATGTTTAGTATAAAATATGTGACATAATACCATTATTTTTAGATTGGGTACGGTAACTGGCTTACATTTAGCTGAGATGTGCTATCGACAATATAAAAAAGTACCACGTTTTATACTATGGATTATGATTGAAATTGCTATCATTGGTTCTGATATGCAAGAAGTGATAGGCACTGCCATAGCGATATATCTTTTATCAAATAAAATGTAAGTTTTGTGATTTACACAAATGTCTTTCTGTAAGTATGTTGTCATTTATCAATCAACGATTCGATAAGCATAGATTATTTAAAAAAATGTATTTTACATTTCTTTTAATTTTTAGTATACCGTTATGGGGTGGCACGCTGATAACAATTGTTGATACTTTTACATTTTTGTTCCTAGATAAATATGGTTTGAGAAAACTAGAATTCCTATTTGGTTTTCTAATAACTGTGATGGCAGTCACGTTCGGCTATGAGGTAATTATTAAAAGATATTTTATTTGTGAAGTTTGATACCAACAATAATTATCAGCTTAAATTGTCTTTTCAATTTTAACAAGTTAATTTATAGTCAAATTCATGTGATTACTTAAGACAGATTTAATTTCATATAATTTATCAATTATTGAATTTAATTTATCTTAAATATATTTTTTAATGAAACTAATTATTTTATTTTTAACTGCACGTTCTTGTGAAACGTGAAAAGCACACATTTTAACTTCTGCATTATAAAGTGATGTGTATTTGATATTGATATGTCAAAAGAAAATTTACAGATTTATAATTGTTAGTTTTTGCTTTTTTTTTTACAAAACTATGAAAAAGAAACAATTTTTTATACTGTTTGAATAATTAATAGTATTATTTAGCAAAATGTAAGTACGTTTCAAATTCAACTTAAAAAAATTAAAAAACGTGAAAACGCAGATTTTAAATTTCCCAAGATTTTATTAAAACTTCAACGAAATAATGATATTAAAATTCATCTATGCTAATTTTGACAATTAATTGTTTACGCTTTTAGTTTTAATGTTTCGATAATTATTTTTTATTTTTATTATTATTTACAATTATAATTCATAAAACTTTATAAATATTTATATTTTCATTAGATATTATCTTTCCATAGTTCACACGTATTTGATTCTATTTTATGTGAAATTAAATTCGATATTAAATTTAGTTATTAGAGTAGACATAAATTATATAAATCTTTTATACATAAAGTGAGTCTATCAACAGCCGAAAAAAAAGAAAAAAAAGAGTCTAAATAAGAATCGCCAATTATTTGTAGTTCCAACTGTTGCACTTAATTCACTAAAATATTTATCAGTTTACCCTACACTTCGCTTTAGCCTGCTCACAGTTTTGTCTCCCTTGTTTTGGAAATAATGTTAGTTTCTTATGCACTAGATTTTTAAATTATATAGAACATAGTTGTTAAGAAACTTCTATGTATCATTATACTCATTAAGAACATCCATAAATTTCAAATTCATACAATAGTATTTACTTGAAATATGCATCATATATATAAGTTTTTATAATTGTTTGCATTTGAAGAACTCTCTGTACAATCTTAAGATATGCAAATGCACTTTTTGCCTTTCGCAATCTGTTGTTAGCATCAGTTATTTTACAACCATCAGTGGAAAAAGTACTACCAAAGTTCTCGAATATATCTATATCGTCAATATAATTTCCTTTAACTGCATTTCTGTCATTCATTATTGGAATTTATTTTCATAGACTTGATTTTACTGATATTAATTCTTAGTACTACTTTTTTACGTATAAGTAAAGAATTGTTATTAATGTTACATTACATTGCTTTTGTTCATGATTATCATCACTATATTTCAGATGCACGAATATATTACAAAAATGCTAATCGATTCAAATATCTAGAATTAAATTTGATTGAATTTAGTGCAAGCATTTTTTATAAGTTTATTATTATTGTTTCCGTATTTAAACTACTGTTTTAGAATAGTTTTAATACTAACAAGAATTACAAAGAATTATCCTTAAATAAAGTATTAAGGATAACAATTTTCTATTAGAATTGAATCATCTCTGGAAGCTGTCTATAAAAAAAACTAGGAAATATTATTTAACTAAAATTTAAAACTGTTGATAATATTAACACATAAATCCAATTAATTAAAATTATTTTAATATTATTATTAATAGTTTGCAGTTTCATATTTCTTTTGATAGTGAAATAGGGTTATTTCATCACTATATTTATATTAACGACACGATAATATAGAGTTCTTTACAGTTATTGGTTTTATTTATTTAAAATTTTCTAATTCAATGTAATTCTTTTTCTTCTTTCCTTTAACTCCTATTGCAGCACATATCCATCTCGTACGGTTGTCAGCTAACTGCTTGACTCCCTAAAATTTTCAGTTTATTTCAATTTCTTTTAAAGGAAAGAAATTTGGAGACCGTCCACGTCCTTAAGGGTTCCAGTTAAAAAAATAATTTCCATCTCGTATGGTTGCGAATTAATTGCTTGACTCCCTAAGATTTTCAGTTTATCTCAATTTATTTTAAAGGAAAGAAATTAGGAGGCCTTTTAAGGGTTCCAGTAGAGCACTTAACTCAACAGTTTTTAGGAATTTTTAGAAGGCTTCTGACGTAGTGTGTGGTCAATCCATTTCCATTTGCGACGCTTAATCAAAGTTATTACAGAATTAATGTTGCATTTTTCGTAAAGTCCTTAATAAGTTATAACGTCGGGCATTCTAAGTAAGCAGCGTAGTCCACGGATAATAAAGCTTTACAGCTTGCTTATTAGTGCATCTGTGTGGAACCAAGCTTCACACCCGTAGAGTAGCACAGTTAGACCATATGATTTCAATATGCGAAACTTAGTTTTGACGGATAAATGAGCGCTGTGTCTCTTTTAGCGCTTTTAGTGTTTCTGCTGAAATCACACTGCCTAGTTATATGAAGGAGTCG